TTGGCTTAAAAATACTAATGTCGAGAAAATTTATCGGAAGTGCACACTTACATATACGAGATATAGTAGACTAATTACAAATTACTCATACGATTCAACATAGAAAGAATAAGAGTATCAAGATGCAGGAGAGGAGCATAAAAGAAGCGTATTCTAGTCCAACTTCATGTGGTATACATAAATGTATCACAGCTCTATGTTCTAGTTTTGAATGGATTTTTCAATAGCCAGAAATCCTGTAGAAATTAGTAGACATACTGAGGCGGTAATACCACACAGGCACATAAATAGGAAGATTTGTAGCAGCCCTCCTGGAACAGCAACCGCTCGAACAACTCGAAGCTACAATAATGTAGGGGTGAATTTGATTAATTTTACTCGGTTATAAGCATATCAAAACTGCAGAGGGAGGGAGGGGGAGAGAGAAAGAACTGCAGAGAGAGAGAGAGAGTGAGTGAGAGAGAGAGAGAGAGAGAGAGAGAGTTGGAGAGAGGGAGAGAGAGTCTACCTTTGCTGTGGAGAACTCCAAACCCAGAGCAAAAAGAAGAAAGATTACCCCAAACTGAGCCACAGTTTCAACCTGCACCAAAAAACCAGAGCGAAAACGGATGTGAGATGTATAACTATCTTTCCATAAGAAGAATATATTAACAATCAAATAGAAAAAATCCTATCTCTAAGATAAAGCATTGTTTCTTTTATTATTTCATAACAGAGGCATACTTAAGATGCCTTACTGAAAACTTTTATTGTTCACTACAAGATTACAAATGAAGAATTTCTTCTTGGATAATAAAATTGTAGGGTAAAACATACTTGAACCATTTCACTGACGAAGTTGAAACCTCCAGGTCCAATAACGGATCCAGCTAGCAAATATCCACTAATAACCTGTCAAGTTTTAGTATCAAGGAAGCAGAATATGAACATTAACATCATAGCATTATATTTTCTCTATTAAGTTTGGAACTATATGAACATGCATATGTATGTGTGTATGTATCAGACCGGTTGTCCAGCGCAAGCAAAGGCAATGCCACCACAGGTTGCAGATACAATAACGACCACCAAATCCGATATTAATCTACAATACAACCAGTAGACGAGTTCAAATCAGCATTTTTGTTAAGCGAAGACCAATGAACTTAATGAAACTGTAACGAGCCAGTAAGTTTACCTCAAGTCTAGTTGCAGCACTGGATATTTTGATTTAAAATTCGATATTATGAAGACATTGTCCTAAAAATGTTAAAACAAAGTTACATTTAGGACCGTGAAGATAAATACCTGCAGCAATTATATTTTCCATGAAGAAATCTTACCTTACGATCAATCAGTGTTGGTGTATCTTCTCCTCTATTATCATTATCCAGATTGAAAACATCATGTAGTTGAAATGACCTATTTATTCCACAACAGAGTTAGTGAGAAACAGGCCATAATGGCTAGAATCAAGTGGTAAAGAATACATGAAAAATTGTACTGATTTCAAGTTAGAAGCATGTACTTTTCTTCTTTCGTCTCATTTTTCTTCGACTTTACTCTCGCAACTGTTTCCAGTACCGCCTGATCCACACAGAGATAGGTAAACAATGCAATTAGAAAGATTTACAACATATCACATTTGAGACCGAATCAAGTATGAATCAAAAGATTCAAAACATTAGATTGCACTATATTTTGCGCTAGCAACCCATGAATTACGATAAGAAATGGTTCGATGTAAAGGTTTCGAATTTCTTGAAGAACACCGAATCAGATCTTAAGAAATGGTTCAATGTTAGATAAATTAGTTTAGTATTCACCTGCTGGCCGGCGACGCTGTTGTTGAAACTTCCAGGATCAGTGGCTGCAAGTACAACGAGCAAAGGGAAACAATATAATTAATTTTAATTTAAGACTAAAACATGAATTAACTAACCATAACAACTGCATTTAACAAGTTAAGCATGATCTGATGGATTTTTAAGAATGAAATTTCACCACAACCAACTTTTCTAAAAAAATTTCTTATCTTTTCCTCTCAGCCAAACATAAATCCGAAGATCCTTCAAATTTCTTCTCTTTTCGTTTCGGGTTTCGACCTAAAACCCTAATTGAACCAAAATGCATAGAAAAGAGGAAGAACATCGGATCTACTACGAACCTTCGTTCTGGTCATTCTCTTTGAACTCATTCTCCAGAGCTTTGTCGATCATGTCAGCAAAGCTGCCTTCTTTGGGCTTGGAAAGCGAGACATTGGACTCGGTGGCGTTGGCGCTGAGGAGGAGATCTGAGTCTGTGACTGAGTCGTCAGCAGCAGCGAGCGGGTCAGCGAGCGAGAGTGAGAAAAGCAAATCTGAGCTGAGAAGGAGCAGAGCAAGGACGACAACGGCGAGGAAGCCGAGCGAGGAGGAGGACGAGCTTCTTCTCAACATTGCAGAAATGCAGCTGCGCGGCGGGGGCGGTTAACGACGGAAACCGCGAGGGTTGAAAAGCTTCACGAATGGGAAATCGCGATTGGCAGAGAGTGTAGAGAGAGAGGGGGGAGAGAGAGAGAGTGGGGACTAACCAGAGTTAGGGTGATGTGGTCAACATGGAGTCATAATCTCATAAATCTTGGAATTAATTAAACAAAATGGGTGGGGGGGATTCCGTCGTCGGTAGAAACTGTAAATCGTCCGGCTTGTGTGAGTTTTATACAACCGCCGGCGGGTCACCATAATTAATGTGTTTTATTTGGGGTCAGAAAGGCTAGTTTAGGGTAGAGGCGGGTGTAGTTTGGTTTGGTTCGGTTTAGAAATTCTGATAGTGAATTGCATCTCAAAGTTTTGTTGATTTTGTTTCAAAACATTTTAGAACTTATAAATTGTGTATTGAACAGTCACAATAGGCTAGCAATAATATGATTTAAATTCGTCTTTGGTGAGAATCGAACCTATGACCTCACTTACAAGTGAGGAGAAATACCACTAGACTGTAGTATAAGTGGCACAATAGCTTGTTTGTTAATCCTTAAATATAATTGAGAAAACTGAATTGAGGACGAATTAAAATTTCGTTAAGTTTTTGTAGTTCTTTAAATAGGTCAAACTAAAGTGCTTGTGATTTGATTCAATTGAGTGTAAATTTTAGTGTACAAATTGAATCAAAATCGCTCGAATTACCTAGGTATAGTCGATTTGAATTGTTTCAATGATATGTCCACACTTTTTTTTTTTTTTTTTGCCAAATCAGTGTTTGTGCATCCTAGTTCTTCTTCAATCCATACAATTGGATAGGAAATTGAACGCAAGATCGTGAACACTCTAACCGTTCGAGCTACAAGCGTCTTTTGTTTTGCCCATTTGAGTTGAGGTTGCCTCTTTTGCAAAACTAGTAACCCTAAATATAGTTTTAGCCAGAAAAGATACCAAAAATAAGCTTCATTTGATTTTCATTTTCTAGTATCCACCTTTATGAAATATTGGAAATGTCACACGAAAGTTTGATGATTTTGAACCAACCATGTTGTGCAAATGATACCGACCTATGAATGTATAATTTGTTGGGAAGAAAAATGGGGTTGGTATAGCATTTGAACATTATTGCACTTGAGTAGAATAATATGTCAAACCCAATATAATCGAATTAAAAATAATCACTACGGGATGGCTCAGTGGTTGTGGACGAATTTCAGGTCCATATTCCACACGATACTTCCAATGTTCGATTCTTGGTGTTGGTGAATCACACGATTGTGGACAGAGGGAGGCTAAAATGTCTCTATGTGTCTTCCTAGCTCTCAAAATAATGAATTGCTATGACGAAACTACCAACTGATCCCTTTTTAAGAAGACAAACATACTAAAAGTAATTTTTGCACACATTTTTTATTTTCAAGCACATCCATGTTTATTTTTAAATAGTTCAATCAAATAAAACAAATAAATAAGGATGTATAAAACGAGAAAAATAATTGGCGGAAATCATTTTCCAACACATTATCCATTATTTGGAAGAATGGGGTTTGGCTGTTGAAAAATCAGCAGTAGCTCCTGCTACTAGTGAATCACAGATGAACACGTGTCCAACTAATTAATTTTTTAATCACAACTTGACCACATGTCTACCCGTGATTCGCTAGCAGCAGCTGCTGATTTTTTCAGCAGCCAAGCTTTCTCCTATTTTGAAACGTGAAAGGCATATGTGATTGACCTCCAACTTGTTCAATGCCTTTGGCAATTTGTCACAACTCAAGAAAACGACGTAGTTTGATATCTAACACGCCAACATAATTCTTTTATGTTTGAGATGGACTTGTGGCCAACTTGCCACGCAAACCACTATTTCTTTTGACAATGAGGAAAGGCCACAAAAGGAGATAGGATCATCATTGGATCCTCATTTTGAGAATTATAGGGATCATTTAATCATGTATTTTCATCGTATATTGTGCAGTCATAAATTATTTTAAATTATATTATTTAAAATTGAACACAAACAGTACCTAATGAAAACTGATTGCATGATATACGATAAACAGACAAAATTAAAGAATCCCGAAAATCTTCACAAAGAAAATCTGACGAGGATCCTATCTCCACAAAAAACATCTCTTAATATATTTACCACCTGTCAAATTAAGGGCTTTCCCAATAATATAAGCTAAAAACTAATACACTCAACAATATATAGAAACGTAGACAGCATTTTATCGTAGTGATAAAAAACAATCATACCTATACCTATGCACCCTGATGCTTGGGTTCAACCCCACCGATCAGTAAAAATAATACGTACTTAGTTTTGTACGGCAACGTATTCTTTATAATGTCGTGTGATACTTTGATAATTTCACCATAGGCTAAAAGCATATCTCAACGTAAGTCCAGGCTTAAGCATCAGAGAACGGCAGTCGACGGCAGTCTTTTGACCTCATTTCGAGATTTCGTAGGAAATACCGATAAAGAAGGTTTGATACATACATAATGCATAACTATGAACCAAGTACCTGTAACCGTAAGGGGAAGAGAAGAAGAAGATCGAAATACCGCTAATTTTTTTCATTCACTGGATCGACATCTTAACTCAGATCTCGACCGGCCGCAGCTCAAAAGCTATACAGATATCCGGAGGAATGTGACAAGCCATTATGTCTCGGAGAGTAGAAGTAGCTTAGCGCACAACTGTATATTACAATGGATGGTGCTATCCACAAGCATTTTTACCTTCCATACCTACTTACCTACTGATATACACAGCTTTTGCTAAATATACATGCCTAGCTTATTTCAGATTAATACCTAATGTGCGAATCTGAACACCCGTGCCGCGGCCTCTTGATGGTGAATGATGAGGAGTACTTCATCTAATAGTGATGTTTTTACCCGTATCTATCAGGCTTTTCTTCGAGAGATTGGTTATCGAGTCTGCTATAACTCTTGCACTAGATTTCATGTAACCACCTGAAACACAAAAGGGCTGGATTAAAATTATGAAGAATGCCACAGTACCATGGCATGTGTCTGCGTAGAATTGTCATCCAATCGGCATGAGCAAGATTAACCAATAAACTAGTTATACTTTGAAAAGGTGGACAAATTCTTGTGCTAACGAACTTCTAATCATAATTAGCTATTGTAATGAACCGGGAAATCAGCAAAAGTTAAATATTTCATTTCTAGACTTCGGACATCTTTTTCGTAACAGAGGGAGAGAGCACCTGATGTGAGCATGACAATAGGAATGTTTCTGTCACGAGCAAACCTAAACACTTTCTCATCTCTATTAGTTATCCCATCAGGACTGACCTACAAATCAAGCCAACATGAACACACATCAACAAAGAACTGATGAAGAAAATCCGTGTACTTGCATTTCACGATTATGTGCCATATGTGGAACTGAAAAGAATGGAGGAAAGTGATATTATGTCTGATCAAAAAGATCAACGAATGATGATACCTTCAACTGGCCTAGAGGATCTCCATCTAGAATATCAGTTCCAGCATTGTAGACTATCAACTCAGGATCAAAACTACGCACAGCAACCTAGCATACACAAATACAGTTTTTATGTAGTTCTTTTCACATTCTTTTTTGAAGCAATAAGGTATACCGAATACTTAACCATAAACAGCTTATATTATTAGAACAGGAAATGAGAGGTCAAGCACATCTGGCGACAAAGTTAACCATATACCTCAAGAGCTTCATCTAATTTTCTCAAGTACTCATTTGTTGTCGTTCCACTCTGTTTAAATTCAAGAAAAAGGATTACACTACTGAAGTTCACAGTAGCAAACAACTATAATCTGATATGCAAGTGTAATAATAATGGCTCACCGCTACTGCAACCTTCTGATCAATGTATCTGCTTGCTTCATAATCCTACAGAAGATCAAATGAAGGTGGAATTAGACACTTGGTCTATGCTAGAGTCCTGCGTTCATAGTCCTTTACAGCAGTACAGCCAGCAACTTTGGTGCAAAAAGCTTGCATCTTAGAACATTAGAAGAGGAGGAAACTTACAAATGGATATATTCCAGGGTTGTACATATCCAGTATATAGACTCGACCTGTTCATACAAAACAATTATTAGAATTCCAGAAGAGAGTCAAGTCAAATGTTCAAATCCCCTATGAGGACCAAGAAGTAACCATACTGTCATTGGCAAAATCCGTCTCATGGCCATTTCCTTGATGTGCATCAAGATCAATAATCATCACCCTGTATCGACAGACAATGAAAGATCACATCCATACAGTTTTATTTTAAAAAAATACTAACTAAAATTTCAAAACCTCACTAATTCAACTATCACGCCAGCAGTCATAAAGTTAGTACCTTGATATATTTAACAGCTCAAAGGCAAAGTGTATGCAAAGAGAAATATCTGCATAAACACAGAATCCCCCTCCTTTCTCCCCAGAGCAGTGATGAAACCCTCCCCCAATATTGATGGCCCATCCTCGCTCTTTTGCAAGTTTTGCAGCCAAGACAGTCCCCCCGACCTGCAATAAAATATGAATGGCATAAAACCATATTGTTTGTTTTTCTTTTCCCTTCTCTCTCCAAATTACTGAAAAGCAAAACCTCAACGTGGGTGATACTTACCTGGTTGACAAATGGATAAAGAACTTTCTGCTGCACAAGGCAATTTGGGAATATGGCCACCGGAGGTACCTTAACCATCGTAACTCAAAGAAGTCACAATCTTCATAGCATAAAATGAAACAAGCCTCAGCCGGAATGATTAGTCCACGTCAGAGACACTCGGGAATATTTATACCAACTGAACCAAACCAAATTCGACTTGTAATCTATAGCATTATTACCTCAATTATCATAGCAACATTGGCACTTTTCTTTAGACTATTCAAGTATGCTTCTGAATGGACCTGTTCAAAGTTAACTACTAAGTAAAATCCAAATGCCAAAAAAACAATCACAAAGTAAAATACACAAACTAAATCAAAGAGACATATAAATTACCACTAGGAGATCATTCTTTGAAGCTTCCCGAGGCTCAACGACGCAGTTTTTATCCACAACATTATCCACCAACAGAAAACCACATATGCGACCCCACTTAGCCGAATCAAACGGGTGCCTAAATTGGTATGGAAGTAAGAAACTAATTAGGTTCCGTTTGAAATTGCTTTTAGAACTAAATGGGCTTCAGAAACTTCGCTTTTGGGACTGCTTTTGTAGGAAACACTTCTTCTCAAAAGTGATTCTGCTAGAAGCTACCGTAAAGATGTAAACATGTCGAATTATTTATTAAAATTCAAGTGCTTCTTGTAAAAGCAGGCGCTGCTCCAGACAAGCGCTTCCAAGGGATTTTCCAAGAAGCGCTCCCGAGTGCATTTTTATCAAGATAGCAAAAGTGCTTTCTAGAGAAGCATTTCCAAATGAATCCTACAATTCTAAAATTTCGAACTAAAAACAAACACAAGAACTACAAACTGATCACTCACAGTTTCTCGATGCCAAGAAACGAAATATCATACGCAGACGAGTAAATCAACGGCACCTGATCATTCACAAAAAAATCAGACTCCAATCCAAAGCACAAAATTCAAAATGCAGATCAAATCAACGTACAGATTTACCTTGGAGTTTGGGATGTCGAAGTACAGCTTGCTGGAGCGAACACGGCTGCGCCGCACGTCGGCTTCGTTTCCAGACGAGGAAGCGGACGACATCGTTTCAGACCGATTTCTCGCACGGCTGCGGCTGTAGCGGTAGAGAGCCTGAGAGAGTTTGACGGTGGCGGCGAATGTGATGACCAAAACGACGACTGGTTTGATTAGATTCCGAGTCGACTCGGTCCAAATCGGCACGACTGAGTTCTTCATGTTCGTGAACAGTTAAAAAATAAAAAGATTCGAATTGGATTAAATGGTAAGCGCATTCCAGGCACGTTGATGCAGTTGGATTAATCGGACGGTTAGGAGGTCGAGATTTTGGCGGCAGATCGTCGGATGGATTTGAACGCGCCAACTGCCGAGTAGTTAAATTAGATTCGGATAAGATTGAGTGAGATGCTGATGTTGCCGTAGTTTTGCGACAGGGAATATTACACGTGTCGTTTGAGTCGGTTGTCAAGGTAATACGACAACGTGGATCGCCTGAGTTGGGTTAAGGCTTGGGCTGGCTTTGGTTAAGTCTTGGGCTCAGTACATAACCATCTGCTCGGCCCACCATGGTTCTTTTTTGTTTTTATTTTCCTTATCTTATCTTCTACTCTCTTTTCTCGTGTTTTTTTTCCTTTTTTTTTCTTTAAAAGAAAGAAAAAGAAAAAAAAACAAGCTCATGGCTTCGTCATCTTAGTCCATTATTCTAGAAATCAGAAAACTCACAGCCATTTCAGTTTATTCTGAGCCATCATTGTGTGATTCATTAATACCGGAAAGATTCGCAAAAGCATTTCTTCTGATAAATAGTAATTATTTATTGAGAATAGAGATAAGAGGTTTGTTAGCGATATCTCACTTACATTCTCAAATCAACATTTGTATTTAAATTCATGTCACGAATTTTTTATTTTACATGTAAAATTGAAATTTTAGCTTCAAGTGCTAGTAGGGTATATGTGATATAAAGTGAATTGAAATAAGAATATCCTAGTATTTCTCTAGCGATAATTTTTGGACGGATTAGATTAGAAAACATTTTTAAATGAAATTTGAATTTTCATATCAGAGTTGCTTTGGATTTTTGTAATATATGCAATAGTATTATTCTAATCTACACTAAAGTGAAGGGGAAGAGTTTAAACCAGAGAAATCCTTCACATGCAATTATCATAAAATATTTTTTTTTAAACATAATTTGAAATTTATATATTTTACAAGCTTTTAGTTTCAGATGATCTCGAACTATTAAGCATATGCAATTTTTTTACATCTTTCTTTGATATTTGATCTAAGTTTTTTGTCGTTGAAAATACTTGGTATATGCGTGTACCAATTTAGTTTTTCCAGATTGAAAATTCTTAGTGCATCTTGTAAACTAGTATGTTTATCATTTTTAATTTATTTTCAAAGAATAACAATAAACATGATAAATACAAAACATATTTTGTCGGATGTCGCCGAAGGGACGATAGATACAAAACATATAATTTGATTAATATTTGGCAAGATATTCAATATTTTCGACCTAATCAATGTTGGTAAGAATCGATATCACGTTATATCAAATATTAGGTTTAGACACAATCATACAAGGCATAATCATTTTATATAGATAGGATTAAAGAAAGAAAAAAACGATAATGATGCATGCTTTGATATTTATTTCCCCACATAATGGAATTGACGTAATTTTAAATGACATTAGGTGTTACCTGAGCGGACCGGTTAGGGTCTAGCGTCTAGGTGGTTAGGCGGTGGCTTAAACGGATTAGACAAATTTAAGTAAATTCATTATACATTGTATAAATAAGTGTTTGTGCTGACCCTAAAAATTACAAAGTCTACGTGGCGCGCAGGCCGAGTAATTAATAAGCTAACTACATCCTTCAATTGAATGCGGGGCGTGCCAACTAGTCTGCCGAGCTTGGCCGAGGAGTAAAATTTGTTGATGTTGCGTTGAGCGCATTGCTGACTTCTTTATCATGCGACTACGGCCGAGGAAGGAACAAATCTCGGCCTTTGGATTCTCGAGCCTGAAGATAAGGCTGTTAGTTCTGCGAAGTTCACGAATCGTTGGCGTCGGATTCGGTCACGATGATTATATTCGTGAGAGTATAAGCACGTCGAATTGACATCAGACTATGTGGACACAAGTATTCAAAGGTAATGTGTGTCTTAATGGTAAATGCGGTTCGACTCTCAGAATGCCGAACTCTGAAACTCACTTGGGAGTATCCAATCATAAAACCACTCAATGTTTAATACGCCGAATGTCGTAACTCGTGACACCTTACTTCGCCGAAAAGGTTAATAAGATGACCTCTGCCAATAAGGACTCGAAAACCCATCTCAACCGAGACTTGTATAGGTAACCAGTCGCCCTCGACGCAGTGCTGTTTATCCAAACTAAAGGTGCTCCTCGGTCGACTGATTCTAGGGACAGTGCTGTTTATCCAAACTGAAGGTGTTCACCGGTTGCCTTCATAGTGCTGTTTATTCAAACTGAAGATGTGTCGGCGGAAAAAGAAAATAAAAAAATCTCAAGATGTTTAAGAGGTTTTGCGCAGGGCAGTTGTGTGTTGAATTGGAGGTCATTTTTACGTTGCACATCGCCTTGTATTTATAGGGTTGATATTTGCTTGACACGGCTAGATAATTGTGGAGTCCAACTGCAACTCTAACTTGCAGAATGAAATATGATCCGTGTGGCTGACTTTTCAAATGAAAACCCATCTAGGTTTATCCCATCATGACCAAAGACCTAGCCTACCTAGGCTTCCTATCATAACTCCATCACCATCAAATCCTAGGCTTATCACATCACCACATCATCACAAAAAACCTAGCTTTCCTAGGCTCTCATTATCTTTTACCAAAATTGCCGCATGCATCCTGACCCCATGAATATTAAATTCATTTTTTATTATCACGATGTTTAAATGGATAATAATCTGTTCAGAATCCAATCCCATTAGTAGTTTCAAGTGACCTTATAATATCATCCTGTTCTGCATGCTTCATTATTTGATGCCGTGCATATCTGTTAACCAAAAACTGATCCAACCACACACCCATATGCCAAACATCCACATCAACTTGAATTATCTTGAATTGTGCCGCCTGTTTCCTAGCTTGGAGATATATTATTTTCACATGAAAATGTCAAGATAAATCATTATTAAAAGATAATTATGATAAAAATCATAATGTTATCTTTTAATATCAATAATATTATTTTCATGAATTCATCGACGGTGTGGAAGTACACTTACTCAACGATCTCGATTACTCGGGTCGATGATGCTATTTTGGGTCCAAACAATATGTTATACTTAAAAAATACATAATTGCATTGGGATACACAAATTGTAAAATAGGATGTCATATAGATTATAAAGTTTTTATGAAAAAAATAAAATGCAAAATGAAAGTTATCTATTCTCAGTCTAAGTAAGAATTGTGATTTAGACGGGGGCCTACTCTGGTCTAGGCGGTCTAGGCAGGCGCCTAAGTAGGTCTAAGAGCCATTTCTTAATTTTCAAAAACCTAGGGATTAATCGAGGCGATGGCCAACCGCCTAGGGCCTAGGCGGCGCTAGATGCAGATTTTAAGAACAATGCTTGTAAACATGCTTCTAGCAATATGAAAAAGACTTGGTATAGTATATATTTGATCCAGCTCATGTCTCTTGTCGGCGTTTTTTACTGACAGGCGCTGCTTGGAAGATTTGACGCAAAACCGAACGTAGTACCGTGTAATAAGGTTTGTTTGTTTTTTGTTGTTGTTGTTGTTATAGGCGCTGCTTGGACTCTAAGAGCTCATGATATTTTAAAAGTTTTACTATTATTAGAGGGAGGGGAGGGGGGAAGAGTTTGAAACCATTGCAATAATTTAAGAAATGAGGAGTTTCAAATTTGGAGCACATGAGTAGAAAATACTCTATTCACTAGTATATCGGACCATATATACCCTATGACCTCATGATTTTCTTGTCAAGTGTTTAATCTCGTTGTTAAACAAAAAAAAAAAGAAAGAATTATATAGAAGAAAAGTAAGAAATTAAAACTATAAATGGATGTTTTCATATACAACTATAATAACAAATTAATATTGATCGAATCACACTCACGAAATTCATACAAAAATTTCTCACTTATAAAATGAAAGACGGTATAATATTTGATTATACTATTAAGTGGCGTGATTGCTTTATATCCAGACACCTTTACTTTTGTATTGTTGTATGTATTTAGGTAGGCAAAGCATATCAACCATATTAAGTGGCGTGATCAGTTCGACCTAGGAATTTCAATTATTTATAAATATGGCCAGGAATTTTCATGTGCTTGACAGAAAGGTCCAAACCATGTATCCAAATTCTCCTCTCCTTTTAACAAAGAAGAACCGGAGTACTCTGGTACATGTACGATGAAGGCATTCAAGTTTCTCTCAACGTGACAACGTCTAATGTCTTTTCGAACAGATTCCATAGTACAGTGATGAAACGGAGGGTTTTAACATGGTTTTAAATATAGGTACATTATTTTTACCCATTGCTATTATGAAGAAAGACTAAGAGATAATACATACATACATACATATATATATATTTGTTTTTTGTTTTTTTGAGGTTAAGAGATAAATTTACTAGAAGAACAACAAAAATACGAATAACAGGGAAACACGAAATCTAACCCTGATACAACATTGCTATCACATGCCTTTAATATAGATTTACGGAAAATTGATGAACGTGATAAATTTTAGTGGGAGTACTCTGGAAATATTTTTGGGAATATTTTGCAAGTGATGGTAAACCTCACTACGTTATTTATTACAATTGGATGAATTTAAAGTTTGAGATTTATGTAGTGGATAGACAAACCTATAATGTTAAACTCATCCAATGATTATAATTAGAGCAGTGAGTATTTCTTGACAGTATTAGAGAAGAATAAGACTAGGGAGATTAAATTTTCAAACCAAATGATGTGTCACCTATAAAAAATAAACACGTTATTCAATAATTCAACTATCAACATCCACATAATTTAATTTACAAAATTTAATTTAAAAATTTGACTTCTCCAACATTACTCATTAGAGAATAATGAACAAAAAATACACACTCACATAAAAGTAAATTCACATCAATTGATGTCACAACACTTACAAAACGTAAGACAAAACCGCAGAAGCGAGATAACAAAATATACGCACGAAAGCAAAACAATCGAGAAAAAAGAAAGACCCACTCGTCAGCTTTATC